GGGGGGGGATGCAGAAAGGAAAGCAGAAAGATATGAGGGAGAGGTCCAGTTGATGCAGCTCAGTGGTTAGAGCACCGGTTGGAAATGCGCATTGTGGTATGAGGTTGTGGGTTCAAAACTCCACAGCCTCGCGCATGGACACCGGCAGGGCGTTAGAATGACGCACGGCTGGACACACACTCCCCTGGGCTGACGCATGGTACTATTACAGACACTGCCTGCGCACCACCCAGGGGGTGAGTTCATGGGTGTTGTATGCTGGCCTAGTCTGCACGTTGGCTGCCGGTTGTTGTTGGCTTTGGTCGCTCTGATAATCTCCCCCAGTCTAGACATTACACATTATTTCCACTTCCCACGGTAGTATAAGTAGTAGAACCCTTCAGTTTCATACTGAAGGTCACAGGTTCGAGTCCATACACACATATATACAATACTCAAGGTACACAATTACACATACACGTACTAGTGGAGGTGATAAGAGCACCTCTCACCAGTACTCAGTACTTACTTCACAGATGCTCCATGGTGGGGAGCAGCATACAGCCATACATATGGCCTACGGGCACACATCTATACACAGTACATACACACACAAGCACAACCATACACATACACTCTTTTCCCACCACACTATATATTTAAGGCGGGGTACTTGTCATCGGGACGCCTACTCACGCCCTCTACTCTCTCCCACCACACAGTATATTTAAGGCGGGCATACACACACATATATATACACACACAAGGGCTGGGGGGGAGCTCGTGATCAACTGATAATGATGATAAGGCGTCTCGATGATAAGTACCCCGCCTTAAATATACTGTGTGGTGGGAGAGAGTAGAGGGCGTGAGTAGGCGTCCCGATGACAAGTACCCCGCCTTAAATATATAGTGTGGTGGGAAAAGAGTAGAGGGCGTGAGTTACTAGTTGGTGTATTTAGGGGCCAATACGTGAGTTGCTTGAGCCTGGCGTCCGAAGTACCCGTACGACGAGGTCCGTTCGACTATGCTTCAACCAGGGCTGGGTTGCTAGCCCTGGTGCCAGTCACTACTGCTCGGTCCAAGTTACCTGCCCATGGGTTGGGTAATGGTCCTGAGTGCTGGTCACACTCAGGTAGGATAGTAGGGATAGGGGATGCGCTAGGAGTATTGACGCAAGGATGGAAGGGGTGGTGGCCCCGCTGCCTCAGAGCGTCCACAGCTGACCACGCCCGGCAATCAAATGTGTGTCTAGTAACTGGCCTCTACAACACCTTGGACTTTGGGAAAAAAAAAAAAAAAAAAAAAAAGGAAGAGGGGGGAGAGAAAGAAAGAAGTATCATTGGTATGCCCATTAAAAACAAAAAATAAAAAAAGGCCCTTCCCTCCTGCTCTCTGCGGTGGGCGAAGTCATTTGGTGGGATCATCAACAAATGTCCTGTGGTGTCTGCCTTTTCCTTGGCACCGCCCAAAAGGTCCTTATTCCTGTTCCTTTTTTTCCCCTCTCCCTTCCCCCAGGAAATGCCTCCTCGCTCCTTGCGCGTCACCCCTCTGCCCCTTGGCTGCGCAACCACACCAGGCGCGGTCTATCAGTTGTTGAAATAATTTTGGTTGTGATTTTACTTGCCAGTGTTTAGCAACGGGACTAGTGGCCCCCCAGAATAGAAGGGGCTGGGTGTGTGTTAAAAAAAGAAAAAAGAATCTCGTGGTAGAGTTTCTTCTTTTTTCTTTTTGTCTTTTTTTTACAAGAAAAAAGGTTCCTTTTATTATTAGGGCCCAGTGCCCAGGGCGAAAACAACTGAGATGAAGTTTCAGATTCA